AAATAAATAAATAAATAAATAAATAAATAAATAAATAAATAAATAAAGTTTCCTGCTTTGAGTTTTCCTGGAACAGTAATTTGTACACACTCCCAATGCGTGCTTTTTTATTTGTAAATATCACTCCATCTCTTCCCTTGCATTCTAAACAAGTTTCCATTCACTCATTCATGTATGAGACAGGTGCTCACAGCATAGAAACACAAAAAAACTTGCAAACAATTACAATTGTCACGACACTATAGAAACTGTCAGTGCAACGGAAAAACTCAAAGAAGGCATCAATTCAAATGCTTGGGAGAGAGCTGACAGTGGAATACTGACAGAGACAGTTCTTGGGAGTCAAGGGGAGAAGAAAGTGTATGCCATGTGTCAGCATCATGAAGGAAGATGACCTGAGAATACAACTGATTCCTTGTGGCAAGAGCAAAAGATACCTGGAGTGAGAGAAAGCTTGGGAAGGGCAGGCCAGAAACAGTTTGAGGCAGATGGCAAAGGGTGTTGAATGTGGTTCCAGAGCTGAAAAGCCATTACATTAATATATATATATATATATATATATATATATATATATATATTTATTTATTTATTTAAAAAGACATATTGGTTTTGTTTTTTTTTCTCAAGACAGGGTTTCTCTGTGTACCCTTGTCTGTCTTGAACTTGCTTTGTAGACTAAGCTGGTCTTGAACTCACAGCGATCTGCCTGCCTCTGCCTCCCAGAGTGCTGGGATTACAGGTGTGCACCAATGCTCCCAGCTTAACATTTATAATTTTAAGTCATGTGTATATGTGTGTGTGTGTGTGTCTCTTTTCTCATAAATGAATGACTAAATGTACAGTGCCCAAGAAGTCCAGAAGAGGATGTCACATTCCCCTGGAGTTACAGGCAGTTGTGTGCCACCTGATGTGGGTGCTGGGAAGTGAACTGGGGTCCTCTTCAAGAGCAGTATGCACTCTTAACTACTGAGCCATCTCCAGCCCCATAGATGGATTTAAGACTAACAACCAGATTTGCACTTTAGAAAACTCACTGAACTTCAATGCAGAGGGCATGTTGAAAGAGGAAGTATCCAGAGGCACACTAGTGATTCAAGCCCCTTTCCTGGGAACACAACTTTCCAAACAAGTGAGAAGGCCAACATACCCTGGCCAAGGCTGCAGTCACTTCCACCTGCTCTTGCCTCAGTAACTCTCCTTCCAGGCGACTTGACTCCAGGGCTTCTCGAAGCTTGATCAGCTCACTTAGTGATTCTGACTGCTTGGCTTCTAAGCCCACCAGCATCTCCTGACTAAGAAGAGAAGGAGAAGGAGCTAGAGGAAGTTTTTAGGTGTGGCCACATTCCAGCTGGAGACAGGAATATAATTTCTTTTTCTATGCAAAAAAAAAAAAAGTGGAATTAGTTTCTAAAAAATAATAAGGGAAGCTCTCTAAGACAGAATAAGTGGAAAAAGCAGAGTCCATAACAGTATGTTAGTGAACTGCCTTTCATGCAAAAAAAAAGTGAAAGAAAAAAGAAAGCAGAATATCTGCATGAAGCAGACTGGAAAGATAAACAAAAAAGTAACTGAAATGGTTACCAACGGAAGGAAGAAAAACGGAACAGAGAAAGAAAAAAATGTGGGGAGCCTTCCCTGTGTGCACCTTTTAAATAGGTGGGTTTTGCTGCTGTTGTTTTGGTTATTGAAACGGGGTCTACTCTGCAGCCTAAGCCAGCTTTGAGCTCACAGCAGTCTTCTCGCCTCGGTCTCCCAAGTGTTGGCATTAAAGGCGTGAACCAATATGCCCTGGCATCTTTTTCAATAGCTTTGGCTTTTGACTTACCTAATTCCATTATTGAGTCAGACAGATCAAATTTTAAACACACATGTATCTGTGTGGACTGTCTGCCCTTCACCTCATTGTGGGACACAAGGCATGGCCCCACCCTCTGGCAGACACTCAGGCTTCCTCAAGCCTCCACTGTTTAGTAGGTGCAAGGAATGAGTAGGGGAATATACCAATGAAAGAACTTGCTACCAGGCTCTCTGTTTGCATTAAAAAGTGAGTTCAAGGTGGGCAGTGGTGTATACATCTTTTATCTCAGCACTCAGGGGCAGAGGCAGGCAGATCTCTGAGTTTGAGGCCAGCTTGGTCTACAGAGTGAGTTCCACTACAGCCACTGGCATACAGAGAAACCCTATCTTTTTGTTGCTGTTTTCAAGACAGAGTTTCTCTGTGTAGTCTTGGCTGTCCTGGACTCGCTCTGTAGACCAGGCTGACCTTGACCTTACAGGAATCTGCCCGACTCCGTCTCCCAGAGTGCTGGGATTAAAGGCATTTGTGTTTGGAGAGAGAAGCACAATACATGTGTGGAAGTCAGGGGACAACCCACGAGAGGATTGAACTCATGCTGAACTCTAAGATACCAGGGTGTCTTTTTGAGCCGTTTCGATAGCCCTATGCTAGCATTTTATGAAGTACTGCCCCAACTTTTCAATAACTCTTCAATTATCACGTCCATTTTGCCAAGGGACATATCTGTTCTGATGGCAAAGCCAAATCTACACTACACCTTTGTGGTGCTCCACAGTCCCTTCCCTAGGCAGCATTGTCTAGCAGAGTTTACAGATTAGTGGGGGCACTGACCTTGGATTTCCTTTCCTGACCAGTGAATTCCCCATCAATTCCCAGTGATTTTATCTTTTTGCAGGCAGCTAACTCTGAGGACGCCACAAAACTCTTCCTTCCTTTTTGCTATTCTGTCCCCTTGGTCCTTTTTTCTACAAACTAAAACAGATCGAAGCCCCATCAAAGCCTATCCCCTCTTCCATAAAGTTGTCCTTGATTCTCAATAATGAACTGTTGCTCCTATGCTTCCAAAACACCAAGCTTCAACTCTAGACAGGCCACACTTCTTTCAGCTTCATGTCACAGCTGTTTCCTTGTCTGACTTCTCATTAGATTTCAAGCTCCTTGAGAGCATGGTCAGCCTCATTTAGTCCCTCATCACTGTAGGGGCTCAGCAATGTCTACATCAGTGGTTCTCAACCTGTGGGCCATGACCCCTTTGGGGTCACATAGATATCCTGCACATCAGGTAGTTATATCACAATTCGTAACGGTAGCAACAGTAGTTATGAAGTAGCAATGGAGTGATTTTGTGGTTGGGGTCACTGCAACATGAGGAGCTGTAGAAAGGGCCGCAGTGTTAGGAAGGTTGAGAGCCGCTGCTCTAGGTGAATCTTCTGAACTCACCTTTATACAAAGGAAGAAGCAGTAAGCTAATGTGAACCCACCGTGTGCAGGCTTTAGGCTCTCCACTTTCTAAGAGAGAAAGTGGGGGAAGGTGCGGACGTGACGAAGGCCAGGCCCTGGTGAGGAGAGGCCTGGTTGTACTTACAGGCGCTCCCTCTCACGGACAGCCAAGTGCAGCTCCTCCTGCTGCTCTTGCTTCTCCCCCTGAGCAGAATCCCCCTGCAGCTGCAGCTCCATATTCACCCTTCGCAGTCGCCATGCTTCCTGCTCCAGCACTTCCAGCTGCTGCTGCAGCTCTTCCCTGGCCTTCTGCAGCAGCTCTCGCTCCCTGAAATGAAATCAGAGATAAGCAGACCCAGGGACCAAAGGTCCAAGTGGAAAAAGGCGACAGAAGCTTGTTTCTTTTCAACATCCGATATCTATATAATACTATATAATATCTATTATATAAGTATTATATAGATTATATAAGTATCATATAAATATTATATAATACTTATATAATAAGTATTATATAAAGTATCTATATAATACTTTTTCAACAAGAGACCATTTATTACATGATCTTAAAGACTCCAACCCAAAGGGTTTTCCCACAGGAAACGAACAAAAACCATAGCAGCCTTAAGCATCCATGAGCCCAGGGATAGCAGGAAGAGTCAATCAAAAACAGGACAGTGATAGGTAAGTGGCTAAGTGAGGATTAAACCAGACACTGGGGACCTGAGAATGTAGCTCAGTTGTAAGAGTTCTTTCCTAACAAGCCAAAGGTTCTGGGTTTGGCTCCCAGCCCTGAAAACCACAATTAAAACTAGACATGTAGCAAAATAAAATTGTGAAGGCTTTGCTTTCTTTAAAAAGACAACAACAACAAAAAACAAACATGGAAGGGTGAGATAAGCAGCCTGTTCACTCACTTGCTGAGAGAGTCTACCTCTCCCTGAAGGTCCACGGTCTGCCCCTCCAGAGCATCCCGCTCCCCAGTGAGCTTTTGTAGCCTCTCTCTCAGGGATTTGCCCTCTTCCTCCCACTGATCGTGTTGCTGCTGCAAGAAGTTCATAGCCTCCTGGCAGCCTGAGAGTTGCTGTCTGAGGTCCTGTAAAAGGAGAGCAACAGAAACAAGATGATGAACAAAAAGCCAAAAGCAAAGGAATGACTCCAAGGCAAGGGAACTGGGAGCAAATGTAACAAGTCAGCTGAGAACAGAAATGTGGCCAACTGAGATGTCAAAGGATCACACTTATTGGGTTCCATGTTTTGGAGTCCATCATTTTCAGCTATAGTGGCATGAGGGGACAATAAAGGACTCTTGGAGTTGGGAACATTTACATTCTCCCCGGACTCTGCTTATTGGCATTTAAAAGTGGCGCTTGTGTAAGCCACACTGTGTAAGCCGCCCACTGTGTAAGCGGCCCACTGTGTAAGCGGCACACTGTGTAAGCCGCCCACTGTGTAAGCCGCCCACTGTGTAAGCCACTGGCAAACAGAGAAATTAATGTGTATTTGGGGTGCCAACTGAATCCTCTGACTGGCCAGCTGAAAGGGATAATCCAGACTAGAGGTGTGCCTGGGGCTCCATTTCTGAGGCTGAAGGGGGTTCTGGGGGTTCTTACCTGCACAGCCTGCTGTCTCCGAGTCAGCACTGAATGCACCAGAGTAAGAGCCTTGTCTGGGTCCTGGGGATCGAACTGGGGGAAGTCACTACAGTCCAACTGCAATGAGCTCTCATGACCCAAGCTTTGGGTCATAGTGTCCTCTTCTTCCACTGAGGCCTGAAATACAACCCAGCGTCACTGAGAGACTTGCACTAAGAGCAGAGGAAACTGAAAGTTTCCTTCACAGGTCCTTCCCCTGGGGTAGGGGCAGGGGCAGGGGGCAGGGGGCAGGGGCAGGGGCAGGGAAGGGAACCTAAAGAGGAAAAAATGACTGAACACATCAATTCTTCATGCTTGGACATTTAAGTATAGAGTTAGCAGTAAGGCTAGGATTCTCTCTGGGGCAATAAGTGAGTGGGGAGAAGGGAAGAAAATGCTATTGCAATGACAAAGGCAGAATTCAGCCTATGGTCTAAGACCATAACAGGCAACAAGTTAGAGGACCCGTCCGCTACAGTGCCAGGACATGAATGTCTACCGACACCTCAGGGTTCCAGTAAGTTCACGTACACTATAAGAGCTTCTCCTTACATGACCCTCAGTCCAAACCTCGGTCTAGAAACCATGGTGGCTGAGAGGCAATGGAGGAGTGGGGGCACTGCCCAGTTACAGGACAAGGGCTTACCAGTGCCTGGGTTATAGCCTGGATCACATGCTGCAAAGACAACTTCTCCTCTTGCGCATTCCTACTGAGAGATGCCTCGTGTTCTATTAGCTCTGCATGATTTGTCTCCTGATAAAAAAAACAAAATAGAGACTAAGAGCCATAATCTCAGAAGAAAATTCATCCTTCTGTCCCCAGATCAGTCAAAGACATATTCTGTGTTTTCTGTCAACCATACTTTCCCGAGGAGTCTGAAAACACGTAGTATGGCAATAGAAAGCTCAGAATAAATGATGTGAAATCCCATGACTGCCTAGAGCACCATTCTTGTTCTATTAGCAGTGAATACTATGACAGCCCTGGAAAACCACAATTCTTTGCAATCCAACTTCACTCATTTTAAGTTACTTGAGCCCTAATGGATGTTTACATTGGCAAATCCCTGACAAGAAAAATTAAAGGGCACAAACAAGTCTGCTTTCCAGTGGACTCCAAAATAGATGCAATTATGGGTGCATAGTGGACAGGGATTCAGGAGTTACCAAGTCAGTAACCAGAAAATGTGCTGAGACGAAACATGTAATTAAGCCAGGGGTTCTAACATCCCAGCTTAGAGAGTTACTCTTGCAACATCCTTGACAGATATTTAAGTTAGGGAGTACAACCTCACTCTTCCACAAGACACACACTGTTCAAGGGCAGAGCTCCAGCTTGAGTCAAAACCTATTACCTTATCTATAACTTACAGTCACCAGCAATGTTAACTCATTTTCTCCATCAACTCGACTTGCAGAGATGTGAAGGGGCCAGCATTCTTCCTTATATCCACTCCGCTCTGAGCTAAACACTGCCGCACTCCTCAGCAGTCTCCAAGTGACTTGGTTTTGAATCTCTCCACAGACCCCTTCCCTGACCGCTTGCTCATTGCCACCCTTTAGTTTTTCTTAGGGTTCCATGTAGCTCACACTGGCCTCAAATTCACACATGAGTCACCTCATTCTGATAAGGACACATTTCAAATATAGCTCATTGTACTTTTTCCAGGAATATAGTCAGGATAGTGGACAGTTATTAGTATTTTATTAAACAGGTAAATGAATGAGTTAACTAATTTTCAGATTCAACCAAAGTTTATTTTTCAGCTTTGGAGAATTTCATCAAGGACCATTCAACCAGCATCATTCACTACTTGTCCACAAAGAACAAGGAATCTGTCACCCCACTCTTAGCTCCTTAGCAACACAGAAGACCACGTACCAGGATCTCCATCGTTTCTCTCAGAGCCTTTACCATCTTTTCATAATCTTCATTTTGCTTCTGAGACTGGCTCAGCAGAGCAGAGAGCTCTGTCACTCTAAGGAGAAAGGCACAGCACTGTCACCTGGGTGGCCCAAGGATGTGGACAGAGCCACACAACAGCACACCTCAGCCCCCACATGGGCTCTCTCACCACACACCCCAGAATCCTTTGGGCATGCGCAGTGCTTTGCGCTCCCTGAGTACCACGTGATTCTATAATCTTGATCTGGTGGGGGAAGCCAAAAGCCACTCAGACACATGCAAGGATTTACCACATCTCAAGACTGGAACGCGGGTTTGAGGGCCTGAGAGCTGAAGGAAAGCCCTGGCCCAGGCCCTTCCAGGCCTCGCTTGATTGTGAAGTCAAGCACCCTGAAGCCAATAAGAACATCAGAATCGCCACAGGGCAGAGTCCCAAGGTCCCTCCAGCCCAAGATTTGACTCTGATAGGGAAAAAGGACAGGTGACTTGGGAGACAACATAACTACTATATCCAGCAAAATCACTAATATCCATTGAACAGCATATCTCAAAGCTTTGTGCCTAGCATTAGACGCATGGCTTTCTTTCCTTTTTCCTTTTTTGGGGGCAGCATCTATGTAGCTCAAGTGTGCCTGAAATTCTCTATGTAGTCCATGATGACCTTGAAGTCTTGAACCAGAAATCCTCCTGCCTAAGCCTCCTGAGTACTAGGATCATAGGCATGAGCCCTAACACCTGGCTAACTAGTAGTTCTTAAATGAATGTGAACTAGGAGCCTTTATTTATTTATCTATCTGTCTGTCTACCTACCCATCTATCTCTTTACTTACTTATTCATTCACTCACTCACTTATTTATTTTTGAGGAAAGCTCTTACTACATAGCCCCTGTCTGGCCTAGAACTTGCTGGGTAGAACAGGCTGACCTTGAACTCACAGAGATCTGCCTGCCTATAACTCCAAAGAGCTGAGACTAAAAGTGATGAATACCACACCTGGCTATATGAAAATTTTAAGCCTAAATAACTTTATTATGAGTCACCTCTAGCAGCCTAAATCACTGTATTATATTTAATTATTATTATAGCATTCAACAACTAATTACCTATTGTATAAGAGATATGATTCAAAACACTAGACACAACTTACTAAGACAGGATCTTTGTTCTTAATGTCTCCAAAAGCAAAAAGAAAATAAATAGTCCCCAACTTATGTACAGCACCAATAAATAGGTAAGACAGAGCCCTAGTCGCGACATAGATTTTGCCCTGATAATCAGTGGGATTCTGCTCATATCTTCCATTCTTATTATTTTAAAAATCCTGTTTCATTATAATCCAAAAATTGAAACAGCCAAAGCATGGGGAGAGCTCCAGGGCAGAATGTTTGACTAGCATATGCAAGGCCCTGAGTTCAATCCCCAGCACAACAAAAACAAATAAACCTAACCTGCTCCTCCCCAAAGGGATACAAAGAAACAAAGTAATTAATGAGATACAATAAGTTAGTGCTGTATGAGCAGGTGGAAAACTCATAGGACTACAGGCTATTGAAGCAGAGAAGTCACAGAGGAGGTGACACGTGAACTCTACCTTAAGGGCAAGGCATAGGGAGAGGAGGAAGGCATTTCAGGCTAAGGCTGGCATACAGGAACACATAAGTGAGGAAGAGTATGGCTACGAGGACACAGCTGTTGACAGAACAGCTAGCATCACAAACCACCAGGAAAGAGACAGAGTTGCAAAGTAGCTGAGGACTGTGACAGACCCCACATGAGACACTAAATCCAAATGGCACATTTCCTTTCCCTCTCGTGGAGAGGGTATTTTTGACATCTCTTCTGCCCACTCACAACTCTCTAGGGGAGTCAGCTTTCCCTCAGCACAGTCCTCTTGGGCCCACGTGTCACCTCACCGATCCTGGAGCTCTGCCTTCTCCAGATCCCCTTGACTCTTCAGCTGTAGTAACTCCTGGCTCTTCTCATGGGCCTCCTTCTCCAGTGCCTGGGTCTTAGCTACCAGCAGCAGCAGCTGGGCTGGCTCCCTCTCATCCGTTCTCCCAGATCCACTGGATTCCCGACACTGTGCTCTCACCGTCAAGCGCAGACAGCAGGTCAGCAGGGACCCTGAAAGCCTCGCGTGTTCAGCCTTTAGCTCTGTCAAATCTCTGAGCACAGGAAGGAAGAGTGAAGACTCCAAGCAACCAAGGAAGAGAGTTTGGCCATAAGGCCCAAGAAGCCTAAGGGGCAGGTCTGAAAAAATCATCTGTATCCAGTAACAGCCAATCTCCCTCCTAGCCACTCCCACCGTCCCCCATTCCTCTTCTACAAAGTTGCCTTAAGCTCAGAATCAGCAGGGGCCAACCTCTCCTCTTATCCCCAAGCTTACCTGTCAGTAGCTGACTTCATTTTCAGGAAGTGACGTCGGAAGGTCACCACCTCTCGCCACAGACTGAGAAGACGACCATGTTCACCTCTCAAATAGCCCTTGAAGAACTGTGTGTTCAGAAACACAAGTCATACCCAAGGGCAGGGGACTCTGTATCAACACAGGAGTCTTGGAATCCTCATGGCTGCTGGGTGGGGGTTGAAGGGAGGACTTCAAGGAGATAGCTTATGAATGGGGTCTATATGGTCTATATTCAGGTTATACTGAGGGCTTTAATAAAGTTGGCAATGAGGTTCAAGAGGTCAAGGGGCCCTGGGTGAAAAGTGGCCTTCTGCTTGGCTGGATTAGAAAAGGATATGCAGTAGCTGCTTAATGAATGGGAATTATTGCTACAGACAGGAGACTTGGTGATCTAACACATGCAAATCACCCAGACTAGAACCCAGCAAAGGTTCAGGAAACAATTGTTCTTTTTAGCAGAGACTGGAAAGTTCCCAGGGCCCATAACCACTTGCTCTCCCCCATTCAATCCAGAAGCTACCTTCTCAGCATGGAGCTATACAGCCCCCCAGAAGGCAGACAGTAAATCTTCAGACCCACCTGAAACCTAAGCTAGTCACTTTTGCAAGAGTTGAGCAAAGCTACTTGACAGCAAAGCCTGAACTAGGCAGAAGGCTGAAACAGGCGCAGCTGTCAGCTGAGGCAGGGCTTCTCAGAGGCAGGGACAGTAACAGATCAGTTTCCACCCAGGTCCAAAAGTTAACCCTTCCCAGCCCTGACTAGAACAGCACTCAGGGCTAGAACCACTCGTTCTCCATACCTCCTGCTCCATCCGCCACTGGCTCTCCTTCCTCATTAACTCGTCCCGGGCCCGACTCCAGTCCACTGTCAATTTTTCTACATCTTCCTGAAGGGCTTTATTCACCACATCGGCTTTCTCCATGTGTAGCCGAAGCTCCGTGTTCACCTCCACTAGACTCTCACACCTGTGCTGGGGACCGGTAAGAGCAAGTGCAAAGTAAAGGTCTGTTCCCACCCTTTGACCTCTTGGGAGCAAGACAGTGAACAGAATTTTCCATCACGAGGATTAGAGGACTAGAATCTTGTTTGCCCTTGGGACACAAGATCCCCAAGTGGTTGCTTCCTTCCTCTCTCCATCCCTCCCTCCCTCTTTGCTTTCTGCTTGCCTTAGGTGACACACATGAACCACCATGCCCAGCACTTTCCCCCGACAAGTTCACTTTTGGAACAGAAGTTTCCCATCAGCCTTTCTTCCCACTGGATAATCCCTCAGGTCAGGAAAGCTGGGTCCATCACCTCTGCTGCTCCTCCTCCAACCGGATCAGCAGCTGTTCCAGGTTTGGCTCTTCTACACTTTCCCACCGCTGAGGGATCAGGCCCTGCTGAGACAGAGACAGGCCTTATAATGCACACAAAACATCACCCAGGACAGTTCCCTGATGCCTCCTTCATCAGCGGCCCACTTTCTTTTTGTTCTTTCTCTTGGGAGCAGTTTGCTTCTTTTCTCAGTCACTGTCATGGAAGCAAATCCACTGCACTCCTCTCTCCAAAAAACGAATCTGTCACCTCTCCTAAACGGCAGCAATGCCATCCGCAGAATGGAAGCTGCATCCTTCACTTGGGGCTTTGGGAAGTCACTCATCATCAACAGGCCACAAAAATGACAGTGACTGTCATTCTGCTCACAGAGTTTGCAAATGAAGTGATGTAACAGTACAAACTGCCTAGGGGAGCCCTGGCCTGCAAGAAGGTGCTCAGTGTCATTCTGGTTCTTTCCTCCTCCTGAGAACTTTTCTGGGGGGAATGAGAAGGCGCCTAAGAAAGCTGGAAGAATGACAAAAGGGTCTTTCAAAGCAGTCCTACCCAGGCAACAAAACCAATGCATCCCTCTACTGCATGCAAGCTTGTAGGCCTGCAGAGGTGCACATCCTCCTGAGGCAAACACTGACACCTGCTGGATGAAAGATGAACTTTCCCTCTAATTCCACATGCCCGTTGTACTACACCAAGTCCCCAGAAGCTGCATTTACCTGTGGAAAGCCATGGGCTGGAGTCTCTCAGGCCAAGGCTCTCTACAAGACCTTATTAATAAAGCTCTTGAAGCTGAGACAGAGGGACTCCTACCAGACATCCTATACAGGCCCAACCCCCCTTGGCCGAATGTAGAGCCAAACAAGTGTATTCTGAGGGCTCAGGGGAAGTCCAGAACTCCAGCTCACTTACTCCGGTGGCTTCTAGCCGCTTCTCCAGCTCTTGGCACCAGCTCCGGTACTGTAAAACCTAAAGCAAAGAGAGCAGGCCCTGAGCTCAGCTACAGCTCATATGAACAACACCAACAAAGGCTCCAGGAATCTTGGGCAAATCTGCTGTGACCATGGGAAGCAGGTGGCGATGGTGAAGTAAGGCCACAGCATGTAAGAGTTTCCATCTGGGTGTTTAAATAATACTTTCTGGGGAGATGGCTCAGCAGGAATGCACCTGCTGTGCAAGCATTAGGCCCTGAATGCAGATCCCCAGAGCAGGTAAAGCCAGATGTGGTAGTGTGTGTCTACAGTCCAGCACTCCCATGGCAAGATGGGAAGCAGAGACGGGGAAACCCCCGAAGCTCCCTGGCCAGCTAACCTGAAAATAATGTGGCAAACATGAAGAGACCCTCTCTCAAAACAGGGCAGAAGGCAATGCCAGGACGCGCGATGCTTGCACTCTCACACTTCACACACCCAAAGATTTTTTTAAAAAATCAGTGTTTCCTAGGGGCCTTGGTCAGTAAGATGTGCCTGGTGGTGGCGGCGGCGGCGGCACACACCTTTAATCCCAGAATTCAGGAAGCCAACCTGGTCTACAGAGTTCCAAGACAGCCAGGGCTACACAGGGAAACCCTGTCCAGAAAAAAAAATTTAAAAAAGAGTAAAATGTTTACTGTGCAAGCATCGAGACCCAAGCTCAGATCCCCAGCACCCACATAAAAAGCCACCATCCCAGGGCTGAAGAGGCAGGGTGGCAGATCCCTGGGGATCCCTGCCTAGCCAACCTCACCAAATCTGTGAACTCCAGTTCAGTGAGAGACCCTGGCTCAAAAAACAGCATGGTGGAGGCTGAAGAGATGGACAGTGCTTAAAACCTTGCTGTTCTTCCAGAGGACCCAAATTCAGTTCCCAGCACCCAACACCCATGTCACAACTCACAACTGCCTGTACCTCCAGCTGCCCTGTGAGGAGGCCATACACATGGCATACACTTATACAGCCATATGCACACAAATAGACAAAACAAAAATTTTAAATAAGGTGAGATAGAAGATAGTCAAGATTGACCTCTGGTATCCTTATTCACACAATTTTACATGCACCTGAATACACACACACACTTTCTATATGCCTTGTGAACTGGAGAGATAAAACCAGGTTTCTAGACTAGTTAGTTCTAGACTAGCGGTTCTCAACCTATGGATCACTACCCCTGAGGGTGGGAGGGGCAGTGTTGAACAACTGTTTTATAGAGGTTGCCTCCAACCACGGAGAAAACACAGATATTTACACTACAATTTATAACAGTAGCAAGATTATAGTTATGAAGTAGCAATGAAAATAATTTCATGGGGGGGGGGTCACCAAAACCTAAGGAACTGTGTTAAAGGGTCACAGCATTAGGGAGGTGGAGACCCACTGCTCTAGACTAAGAGAACAAACCTAGGCAACTAAGCTAACTATTGTGAATATCACAGTTGGAAGGCACAGAACCCACACTCTGTGGAGAGTGACCATCAAAGGAGAGGCTATGGCTGGAAGTTGGAATGTCTTGGGCATCCTCACCTGGCCATTTGGTCCTACATGGCCTCTCCCTCCTCCAGCCCTTAGCCCACTCTAGCACCCAACTCTGGGGGTTTCTCTCTTTTCCCTTCCCCAGGGGGGCATCTGCCTCACCTTGGCCTGCAGCTTCCTCACAAGGGTTGCTTGTCTCTTCTGGGCCTCTTGGGAGTTCTTCAGCTTCCACCAAGAGGCGGCCTGGTTCTCTGCCATCTGCTGCTGCAGTGCTAGCACCTGCTCCTCCAGCGCTCGCTGCAGTGCCTGGGGCTTCATGTCCAACCCGGGGCTTCCTGTCTCCATGGGAGCATCAAAGAGCAAGCCCACAGTTCCTACGTAGCTATAGGTTGCTTGCACCAGGGCATCTAACCATTGTTCTATGTGTCTTGGAACTCCTCTTGAGCTGGGGACCAAAACATATAACAAAATGGAAAACACTAGGTTTCCCAAATTTACTCAGCTAACATTTAAGGGGAGTGAGTCTGGGCTGGATGAAGTAAATAGGTTTCTTTATTACAGGACTCCTCAGCCTTTCTTTTTCTTTTTTCTTTTCTTTCTTTCTCTTTTTAAGACTTATTTATTTATGTATACAACGTTTTGTCTGCATGTACACATTCACACCAGAAGAGGGCACCAGATCTCATTATAGATGGTTGTGCGCCACCATGTGGTTGAACTCAGGACCTCTGGAAGAGCAGCCAGTGCTCTTCACCTCTGAGCCATCTCTCTAGCCCCCCAGACTTTCTTTTTTAATATTTATTTTTTTATGTATCTAAGTAGTTTGCCAGTACGCACATATATGGATCATGTGTGTGCTCGGACGAAGAGGCCAAAAAGAACATCAAAACCGAGGAATTGGAGTTATAGGTGGTTGTGAGCTACCATGCGGGTGCTGGGAACTGAACCTGTGACCTCTGCAAGAACAGCCAGTGCTCTTAAACCAAGGAGCCAACTCTCCCGTCCCCTCTTGAGAACTTTAAAAGACTAGGGTGGGCTCTGACCTCTAAAAGGAGCGACGACGAGCATCATCGCGGCACTCCTGCTTCCCAGTGTGCCTTGGGGACTCTGCGCGGAACTAGGCCGCCCTGCTCTGCCACCGTATCCCTATCCGGCACACTGACTCACAGCAGTCTGTGCAGGGAAGAGGTAGGGGCCGTCAGCTTGGCAGAGGCAAAGGCACAACAATTATATACAATGCTGCGTGTGCACAAACAGAAGTTCCTAGAGCTCCAAATCATTTTCATCTATCAAAATATGATCTATAGCATGGCTCAGTCTACCTCCTATCCTGTCCACCTTGAAGGGCTCATTTTTACAGCTGTGTATGCGCACATGCACACACTCACACAGCCTCTTACTCATCTACATATTCACCTATATCTTTTTAAAAATAGATGTTCAAAGCCAGGTGTGTACGGTGGCACACACCTGTAATCCCAGCACTCAGGGAGGCAGAGGCAGGCAGATGTCTGTGAGTTTGAGGCCAACCTGGTCTACAAGCAAGTCTAGGACAGCTAAGGCTACACAGAGAGACCCTGTCTCCAAAACCAAACCAAACCAAAAACACGTTCTAATGTCTACATTACGTTTTGCCATCAGCATCTGTGTGTTTTTACTACCGATGTGTGCGTGCCTCAAGGGCAAGCGCTATCTATATCTAATCCATTTCAGTCATCAGTAAATTGTCAGTGATGCATACTGAAGAAGCGTGTGTGGGCCCTATTCTTGGCAGTCCAGTGGTCACAAATGTGGCCTGCAGGCTCTTTCTTTTTTTCTTCTTTCTTTTTTTGGGATAGGGTTTCATACAGCCCAGGCTGTCACAGAACTTGCTATGTAGCTAAGGATGACGTTGAACACCTGATTCTCCAGCCTCTACCTCCTGAGTGTTGTAATTACCGGCACATGCCACCCATCCCATAAAATTTTAAGAATTCAAATATAGATGCCAACATTTGTGACTGATAAAATGCACATGCAAATACACACTTCTTGGCTCTTCTGAATAAGCAGCCTACCTACTAACCCATGAGGCAATGAGCAGAGAGGTCTCCTGCCTCTCCAGCAGCTGAAGTCTGAGGGCCCCAGGGTTTGGCCTTGAATCTCTTCCATACCCTCATTTCCTAGGTAACATGGATGACTACCTCCACCAGCCAAACTTGTGAGTTCTGGGTTCAAGTGCAAGACCCTGATTGCACATATAATGTGGAAAGAGATCCAGGGAGATCAAAGTGAAGCTGGATACAAATCTGCACACACACCACACACATAAAACAACAACAAAACAAACAAACAAACAAACAAACAAACACCCCACCAAACTACCACCAAAAATTAAACTGAGCATAATCTGATCATGGTGGCATAGGCCTACAGCCTGGGCACTCAGAAGATCAAGGCAGAAGAATCAGGAGTTTAAAGTCATTTTCAGCTACATAGCAAGTTCAAGGTTGGCCTGGTAACATAAAATCCTGTATTTAAAAAAAAAAAAAAAAAAAGTGAAACTGAATTTTCTTTTTGAGTGTAGGCTGGAATAAAGTAGAAACGACTAAGGCTGAACAGTTGACTCAGCAGTTAAAACACTTGCTGTTCTTGCAGAGGACCAGTGTTTGGCTCTCAGTACCCAGACAGTACCTCTGAGGACACAAATGTGGTGCACAAACACTCATGCAGGCAGAACATCCATACACATAACAGAATGAAATACATTTCTCTCTCTCTCTCTCTTTTTTTTTTTTTTTTTTTTTTTGTGAGACAGGGTTTCTCTGTGTAATAACCCTGGCTGTCCTGAACTCAATTTGTAGACCAGGCTGGCCTCAAAGATTTACATGCCTCTGCCTGCCAAGTGCTGGATTAAAGGCAGGCACCATCACACCCGGCTTATGAAAGGAATCTTTAAAAATGTGTAAGTAGAAATGCCTTGGAGACAGGTCTCTTGCTGATCAACCTCTCTGAAGAAATACCTGCTCTGCCCTGAGGACACACAGTTCCTGAGGAGGCCCAGGAGAAAGCACTGGGGCCTTCTGCCGACAGCCTTGTGAGCGGGGCATCTGAGAAGCAGATCTTCCGGCCCCTGGTGGAAAGCTGCAGATCGCTGCTGGCCTTGCCTGTGCCTCCTAAGCCAGAAACACCAGCTGATCTGCTCCAAAGTTCTGATCCAGAGAGAATGTGTGAGATGAACAACAGCTGTTCAATACAAAACTTGGAATAATTCCTTGTATGGTAACACAACTGGACTGCTGCCAAAGCTCCTAGGTGCTAGCGATACCTCCTAAATTCTGTTTTGTTTCCTCAATAGAACAGTTACAGGATCCTTCTGAAATAAAAATCAGGACCCTGCCTATAAGAAGGACAGGCATCATGAGGGAATGAAGTGGAGGAAAGTCCAACCAATAACTGGCCCAACATGAGACCTACAGTAGAGCCAGCCCCTGACACTAATAATGATGCTCTGCTTTGCTTTCAGACAAGAGCCTAACTTGACTGTTGTCTGGGAGGCTTCAGCCAGCAGCAGAGCAAGATAGATGCTGGGATTTGCAGTCAAGCATGGGACGAAGCTTCGGGGGTCCTGTGGAAGTGCTGGGGGAGAAAGGAAAGGACCTGGAGGGGTCAGGAACCCTACAAGAAGACCAACAGAGACAACGAACCCAGTCCCATGGGAGCTTTCAGAGATGGAGACATCAACTGAGGAGCATGCATGATCTGGACCTATGTTCCCTGCACAAATGTGGCTGATGGGCAGCTTAGTCTTCATATGGGGCGTCTGTCCAGTGGAGGGGACGCTGTTTCTAACATGGACTCTATTGCCCGCTTTTGGATCACTTTCCCCTGGCAGGGCTGCCTTGCCTGGCCTCAGGGGATGAAGATATGCTCAGTCTTGATGTGACTTGATGAGCTGGGGAAGGTTGATATGGGGGGAGGGGAGGCTCCCCTTTTCTGGGGGAAAAGGGAGAAGGGAATGGGGAGAGGAGAGGAGGGAGGGGTACCCATGGGATGTAGAGTAAATAAACTGAAATAATAAAATACAAAACAAGGCTGTTGAGGTAGCTCAGGGCTAACAGGGCTTGAGCCACCCTGATGACCTGAGATCAACACACAGAACCCTGACTGCAAGGAGAAAACGGCCTTGTGAAAGTCCTTCTCTAACCCTAAGCTGAGAACTGCCCCATACACTTGCACACACATATGCACACATACAATTCAAAGGGACAAACAAACATAAACAGCCAGGCATAGGGGCCATGCCTAAAAGCCTGGCACCGTGAGGCCGAGGCAAAGGATGGTTACAAATTAGATTCTTCCACAGGCTACATGGTAAACCTGAAGGCAGCCTGGGCTCATAGAGACTGAAAAAAACAAAACCCACACACCCTAGATAACAGCCAACTGAAGCTAAAGAAAAGCTTTATAATCACCCAGTGTCCTAACTGACCCGCCCTAGCCAAATGAGTTAATCCTCTTTCTCACTCATCTGCCCTTTGCTCACACTCCTCCAGCCACATTCGCAGCCACCCTCACGTGTGCTTAGAACACAGCAAGAGACACTCTCTTGTTATCCACGTGATTTGCTCCCTACCCAGGTTTCTGATCAACTGTTGGACCATGTAAAGTACCACCGCTTCTAGACATGAGCATTGGTATTTCTACTTACCAAGCCTGTCTCTAAGTATTAATACTGGGTTTTGTCTGTTTGAGACAGTGTCTTGCTTCTGTGGCTCCGGCTGGCCTAGAACTTGTGATGATCTACCTTCCAAGTTTCTGCCTTCCAAGTACTGAGATTACAAATGGGCACACGTGTGCACGCACGCACACACCAGCTAACATAACTTGAGTAAATACTGCATTCCCAGTTCCTAACAGACCTGTGTGCGAAGTGCCCACGGGATCTGACTGATTGGTGTACAACATTAAGTAACATGATCCTTACGATCACCAACACAGCTTTACAAAATGTCGGCAGTTCCATAACCGTGCATAGAGCAAACCTAAGAACATGCACAATGTGTACAGTGTTTCACTCTGACGACAATCAGGTGCAACCTTCACTATCACAGAGAAAAAACCACCTTAGAGGTAATAAGATTACTGTCCTCATTTCACAATCAAGAAAATTAAGATTCGGGGCTCCGCCTTAGGGGTACCTGTTGCTTTTGCAGAAGGCCTGGGCTTAGTTCTCAGCACCAAACACGGTGACCCATAACCACCTGTCCCAGAGGATTCAAGGGCCTCTTCTAAATTCTCATGGCACCAGGCACATAGATGGCGCATGCACATACATGTAGGCAAAGCACTCATACAGTTAACATAAAAATAAATAAAACCCTTAAAAAATGAAAGAAAGAAAACTAGGATTCAAAGAGTGGCAGTGTGAGCAGGGCACAGTGGCCCAATACCTGGGAGACAGAAGCAGATGACTCTCTGAGTTTGAGGCCGTACTGCTCTTGTAGGGCACTCAAATTCAGTTCTCATCAGCCACTCTGCAGCTAACTGCCTCTAACGCAGGTCTGTACAAGTATCTTAAGTATCTTTTTTTCCCCTGATGGAATTCTCTCACTGTATAGCCCCGGGAAGCCTTGAACTCACTATGTAAAAGTAACTTTTATTGACCTGATATAACTGTCATCTCGGAAGCTTACTGCTTCTATCTGCTATCTACCACTTAGTCCTGGAAACTTCTAGCCTCTGTATAATCTAATCTAGGCTTAGAATATTTTCAGCCTCTGAATAAGCTCACCCTTTCTTGTTCTTACTGAGCTCTGGCTGGCTGGTTCAACTGGCTCAAACTCTTCGCCAAGCTGACTGATTCAAACTGGTTCCTCTCACTTCTGTCTGAATTGTTCTGGTTGGCTTCAAACCAACTCTAGCAATTTGTTATAATCTTCTGGCTTCTTTTCATTCTCTGGCTTCTTTAGTCTTCACCTGTGTCTAGCTCTCTCTCCCTCTGCAACCTGTCTGTACAATCGGGCCAGTAAAACTGCCTCATTTCTCTCCGGGTGTGCTGTTCTTTCTTAAGTCACCTCTCTTTCTATTCTCCTGAAAGCTGGGCATACACTGTTCTTTCAACTCTCTGATTCGTCATTTTGCCTGCCTCTCAGTTAGACAGCACTTTCAAATACGGCTGCTTCCTTCTAAAAACTAAGCTTAACCTACAATGTTTGGGATTAAAGGTGTATACTAAGGGCATGTCTGTAATCCAGCCGATCATAGATCTAAGTCTTTGGATGTGATTCCTTTGCCAGAGCATCTATGTTGCTGGATTAAAATTCCTCTCTATAGGTCCAGAAGCTCTAAGGCTTCTGACACCTGCATTCATGTCCACTCTGCCACCACCCCATACACATAATTAAAAATACATGGTTTTCTAGATGGAAGGAAAAATGGGAGCATGGCTCAGCAGGTAAGGAAGCAGCCTGATGATTTCTGGCCCACATGAAGGTTGAAGGCAACAGACAACTCCACAAAAGCCATATATTCTAGACTCCATGTGTCTACCATGGCAGGACTCCCCTATGATACACTTAAAAAAAAAAAAAAAAAAAAAAAAGGAAGAGACGCAACTGGTTAGTGGCAAAGCAGAAACCAAACTCTAGTCAAATTCTATGCTCTGTTCATTAGATGCCTAAATCAGAAGCTATAAAGTCACAGCGCTGTGGAGCCTTTCCTAATGGCTATGGAATAATAATGCCCATACCTGAAGCTTTCTGACCTTTTTGGAGTAAAGGAGCACAATAAGGTAGACCGTTCCTGGAGCAACACGGTATAGATGTTCCAGTAGGACAACCAAGATCTGGCCTCGATTTTTTTTATTTGTTTGTTTGTTCGTCTGAGACAGGGTTTCTCTGTGTAGCCTTGGCTGTCCTGGGCTCACTTTGTAGACCAGGCTGGCCTAGAACTCACAGTGAGTGATATGAGTGCCTCTGTCTCCCAGGCGCTGGGCTTAATAAAGGCATGCGCCACTACACTGGGCTCTGGCCTTGATTTTTGTTAAGAAAGCTATGGTTCTGGTAACATCAATTCTCTTTTATAAGCCTTTTCAGGAACCTGGCCTGGACTTAACACGCCTGAAATCTCAGCTTCTTAGGAGGCCAAGACAAGAGGACATCAAGTTGGTAAACTAGTAAGACCTTGTCTCAAAAAAATAAAAAGATAAAAACCAGGGCTTGAGATTGGTTCAGTGGCAGAACATTGGCTAGCATGCATAAGATCCTGAGTTCGATTTCCATTACAAAAAAACAAAAAAAAAAAAAAACCCTTTTAGTAAAATGTGAATTGTAACCCCGACCTCCATACCTTACAGGCGAATGCATACATAGCATCTCAAAGGCAATCTAGTTAAGTCATCATATACATGGGGATTCCAGCTCATTGTGGAACTTGATTTGTGAGTGCTTGTTTCTTCGTGCATAAAATGTGAAATATGGAACCCACGACATAGATCGCTGCGTGAATTAAAGGGGCCTTTGCAGGTAACGCGCTTAGCAGAGCTGTCCTCTTTCAACTGACTATTCAGTAATTTTATTAGTTCCTACTAATAACCAGTGGTCATAGAGTTGAAAAAAAGACATGACTTCTAACGAGCTGAGAACATGAAAGAGGGGCAGACCACTGACTTGAGCAGAGACTGCAAAAGCCAAGAATCAAGATCAGCTAAGCCTTGGAGCAGGCCTCCGGGGAAGGTTTTGAAGAAGCGACCTTCGAGCTGGATCCCGAAGAGTGAGAGTTCTGACCATGGAGCAGGGGGCTGGGGCTGAACTTTCAGGGACAGGTCACGTGCAGAGCCGTAGGGGCGCAGGGAGCTGCAGAGCTCCGAGACGCACGGAGCGCGACGCGCACGGAGCGCAGCGTCTTCCGCCGTCAGCCCCGGGCTACGGCTGTGGGACACCGGGTGGGAAGGTCTCCGGAGCGGCGGCTGCGGCAGCCAGGCCTGCACCCCCGGGACGGGTCCCAGCCCCGATCTGGGTCCCGGGAACGGGAAGCCGCTGCCCAGGCGAGATCCCCGCGGGCGCCCGGGTTCTGGGCCCCCGGACCGTTACGGGGCACCTCCCGCCTGCCCAGCCCCACCTCACCACCGCGCGTCTCCGGAGCGCTCCTCGGCGACCGCCGCGGCTGCAGCAGCCCGCAGGCCAGGCCCGGGGAGGCCCTCCGTCCGGCGGCCAGGCCCCGCCCCCTAAACTCCCGCCCTTTCGTGGGGGGCCGCCCAGCCGAGCCCGGCGCGGGTGCGCGCCTCCCGCCATGTTAGCTACTGGCAGCCAACTTACTAGGGAGGCCTGAAAGGAAAGGGGGGTTAATAGTGAGACACACGGTCGCTCTCCAAAAGTAGAGACAGCCACAGTCTCTGAATTCTAGCGCTGAACGTTCTGAGGGGGCAGAAGAAACGCTCGCCCTCGGTCTTCCGCCCGTGGCTTCAGATTTTAATAATGCGCACGCGCAAAACCGAAGGGCTAGGTACACCTGCGCACTGTCCCGTCGACGAAGCCGAGCATCGTGACTGCGTGAAAGGGTCTAGTTGCAATTAAATCTGGGCGAACAAATACTTCATATTCTCAGCTTTCCATCTCTCCTGATCCTCCACGCAGCCTCAGGGAAGACAACATCCACAAACGACTTAGCGTCGTTTGGAATGCTCGGTACTCCGTAAGGAAGGCAACAGTTTGTTCAGTAATGACTACCTCTACGCCACTGCATTCCGCCGGGAACGGGGAGTTATTTACACGATATTGTACATACATTATTAACGTTTTTTTTTTTTTCTTAGTGTTGAAATTTCGTTTGTCTGATTGCCAGTTAGTTCTAGCATTAGTAGAGACAGAGGACAAACAAATGGAACTTCTAAGTGTACACTTAGATGCCATCCCTGAAGACTCAGTACCCCAAGGGTTAAGCCAGGAATTTGCAAATACCCAAGATGCTTTTGCACGACTGGCGTTACACCGACACGAGACTGAGCTCCTAGAGGATATAGAGCACTTCTTGAGCATACCTGACTCTAGCACCCAGCACAAGGCTTGGCACAAAACAGATAACCCAGCAAGTGCTGAGTGAGCTAAAAGATGGTTGTGTGAACACAGGAGAACCAGTCAGCCGGGGGCACACCTTTAGTCCTAGCATTCGGGAGGCCGATGGAATGCTGGGATTGAAGGCAAGCGCCACACCTGCCGGCAGCAAAATACTTTTTGGAAAAAAAAAAAAAAAAAACAAACCAAACAAAACAAATTTTTTGAAAAGTAAAACTTATTTCATGTTTCTCATCACGGTTCATGTTTCCCCTTCATGGTTTTGTTTGTTTGTTTGTTTGTTTTCATAGCAGTTCTATCTTTTATTTCCTGACTTATTATTTTCATACTTTTTCTCTCTGAAATTTAAGTTTCATGAAGTTATGAGAGTGAGTTATTCTGAATGTTTCACGTTATAGTCTTGACAAGTGTTGAGTAAGTGTCCTTTGAACTGCGTTAAGTCCAGTCATCCTCTGTTTAAAAAGCTGCTGAGATAAAAATCCATCAGCAGGGCCTTGGGGTGTGATTCAGTTGGTAGCGAGCTTGCCTAGCACTCTGGAAATCCTGGGTCTGGGAGAACTGGGCCTGGTGGACAGGCCTGTAACCCCAGCATTTGACAGGTGGGCTATACGAGACCCTTTCTCAAAAATTAAAACAGGAAATCCATCAGCATGCAGCCAGTAGACTTAGGGAGTGGACATAGGTTTCAGATTACCAAAATATACCAACAAAAGAGGCCAAAGAAGCAGTAAGTCAAAACCAAACAGTAATCATTGAGCTTTGTAAAGGGGGAGGGGAGCCATTCTTGTCTGTACTAATTTGTCCATCTACCGCAGCAAGCATTTGTTGAACAATTGTTATGTCCTACTACCAGATAATAACACAAAGTGTTGGCAACCAGTTGGAGATTCTACCACTGGGAACTACCTGGACCAAGACAGAAAGTGGAGTTCCTGATGTGGAAGAGTGGGTGACATTGTCCCCTAGAGATTGTCCAGGCACACAGTGGATACAACAGCTTTTGGGCATCCTGCAAAATGCAAGGAACATTTGGGACAACAAATAAATATTTGTAATTTGGAGATCCTAATGCCTATAGGAAAAAAAAAAATTAAACTGAACACAGAGTCGCAGTAGCCAGATGTGGAGGAGGAAAAAAAGGAAAGAAATGGATGAGCTAAAAGAGAACCAGTCCCGCTACCTTCCAGGTAAACTGCGCTTCTTTCTTTACTTCCTAAGCTGAACCTTCAATGTAGGGACAATACGGAGCATGCGCCCCAACCTTGCATACTGTTCTACAACATGTTTGTTTGGTTTTTTTTTGTAAATTATATGTGTGAAGCTTCAAGGTGAGATGCTCTGTTACAAAGGTCTTGGGCTTTTTAACTGTCATGTAGTAACTAGGGTTCTTGGAGTTTGGATTGTTTGGATTTGCTTTGGTTGTTGTTTTCTGTTGTTGTTTCATTTATTTATTGACAGTTTTCAGGCCTTGGTTTTCTCCTGTAATGTGGTCTCAGGGACTTAACTCGGGTCATTGGGCTTGGTGACAAGTGCCTTTACCCACTGAGCCATCTTGTTGGCCCTCTGCAAGGATTCTTGGTATTTTTGTTTGTTGTTTCTACTAGGGTTCTTATATGCAAAGGGGAAGACAGAACTTTATTTGTCTGTGTATTTTAAAACAATTTTGTTTGTGCATGCGTGTGTGCAGGAGTGGAAGCATGTACGTTTTATGGCGCTTGTTTGGAGGACAGAGTCCAAACTTTCGGGTCATTTTCTCATTCTCCTTGCTGAGTCAGCCTCTCTAGCTTCTGCTGCTCTCCTGATGCAGGCTTGCTGGCCCGGGAGCTTCCCAGTGATCCTGTCTCTACCTTCTCTCTTTCTACAGGAGTGCTGGAATACATACTCTAGCCACTGCATCCAGCTTTGGGTCCCAGAGACCGAACTTAAGTCACCGAGCCAAGTGATGCACTTTTACCCACTGAGCCATCTCACCAGCCCATTTGTTTGATTTCTTTTTAGACAAGAGTCTTAGTATGTAGTGCAAGCTGATCTTAAACCCGTGATCCTTCTGCCTCAGCTCTTGAATGCTGGAATCACAGGCTTGTGACACCATGCCTGGATTGGGAGACTGAATCATTAGAATCCCAGACCATACAGTGCTCTGTCTCCATCCTGCTGGAGAATCTGTGAGTCTATAAGTAGACCTACCAGGTGCCCTGATTCCAGGAGTATGACCGGTACCATTCTCACCTCCCCAAAGAAGTTCACAGATTGGGATTCCAGGACACGTGGTGGAGCCGCATGCCGTGACCTATATCATGGGTACAAGTCAACTAGTGTTCTCCTCCTTACTTCCCTACCTCCTCAGCATGGCACATCCCTTCCTTCCCATGCCACTCAGGTGCCATGGACAGCCCAGCTGCCAGCACCTGCTATGAAACTTTCCCCTTTCCTCTGAAATCCATAAGAAGGGACCCTGACTGCCTAGTGGGCCTGAGGTCTGCTCAGAGCCCTTGCTATGCTGCTGTCTCTCCATGGTGTTGATAACTCTTCTATTACATTTCTTACCCCAAAAGGACAGTCTGTCTCAGTGTTCCTCTTGTATCCCAAACCTGAGGACTTTCAGAGTTTAGATGGAGGAAGGTAAGAATGGAAGGAGGATGGTAGGAATGGAAAGTAGGATTGCAAGATCCAGCAAGGATCTGAGGTTTCTGGGCTCAAGAAAAGCAAGAAGCTGAGCATGGATCTATAATCCCAGCAGCAAGGGCAGCATGGTAAACTGTTCAAGACCAGCTGTGACTTGGAGGCCAGCCTGGGATACACACACACACACACACACACACACACGCGCGCGCGCGCGCGCGCGCACACACACACAAAACAAACAAACAAACAAATAGGGAGATTGCACCCCAACCTTGCTTATTGTTCTACAGTCTTTTTTTTTTTGTAAATTATATTTGTGAAGTTTCAAGGTGAGATGCTCTGTTATAAAGTTCTTAAACTTCTTGACCATTACATATTAACTAGGGTTCTTGGAGTTTGTTTGGCTTTATTGTTTTTGTTGTTGCTGTTGTCACATTAATATTGACAGTTTCCAGGAGTTAGTTCTCTCCTCTTATGTAGGTCTCAGGGATTTAACTTGGGTTGTTGGGCTTGGTGACAAGTGCCTTTACCCACTGAGCCATCTTGTTGGCCCTCTACTAGGATTCTTGGTATTTTTGTTTGTTTGTTTCTACTAGGGTTCTCATATGCAAAGTGGAGTGCCTTTCTCAAACAAAATAAAGGGCAAGAAAGTTTCCAGGTGAAAGCATGGAGTGGGTGGGAAGAGTAGGATTTTCTCTCTTTTAAAGAAATATTGTGTCAACTATATAGTCTAACTTGTGATCCTCCTGCCTTACACAGCCATGCCAAGGTAATTTGCTCTTCCTTCCTTCCTTCCTTCCTTCCTTCCTTCCTTCCTTCCTTCCTTCCTTCCTTCCTTCCTTCTTCCCTCCCTCCCTCCCTCTCTCCTTCCTCTGTCCCTCCCTCCCGCTTTCCCTCCGTCCCTCATCCCTTCCTCCCTTCCTTTCCTCCCTCCCTCCCTCCCTTCCTTCTTTCTTTCCTTTCTTTTGGTTTTCTTCTTTTAGGGTGTGTGTGAGTAGTACATGTGAGTACACTGTACTACTGGCATGCAGTGCTCCTCATCGCCAGAAGAGGGCACAAGATACCGTGGAGAAGTAGTTAACAGGCAGTTAATTTAGGTGTCCTTGTTAGGAATAGAATTCAGGTCCTCTGGAAGAGCTGTATGTGTTCTTCACCGCTGAGCCATCTCTCTTGCCCCTGTTTCTTTACTTTTTTGAGATAAGGTATTATATAGCTTGCTATGCACTGGCTTTCAGTAATTTATGCATATATGTGTATACGATGGGGGAGGGGCTCAGGTGTTACGGTGCCCTCACGGAGGACAGGGAACAATTTTTATGGAGCCAGTTCTTCCGTCCACCTTTGTGCAGGCCCTGGGGGTTAAGCTCAAGTCATCAGGCTTTTCCGGCAAGTGCTTTCAGCAAGCACTAAACGATCCCAGTGTCCCCCAGCTGCCACCGTTGGCACTGTATCTGACCTATCTGTTGCTTTGCTTTGAATAGTCTCCTT